AGGCTAAAGTCATAAGACCTAAAGGTCTAAGGTGTGGCAGTAGGATGATTGCTCTTAGGTGTAGAAGTCTTTAAATAACAAGAGACTCGGTCTAAGGTGTGGTTATGCTTAACCCACAAGGTCAGATAACAAGAGATTTAGTCTACTGAATATTTGGAAAATCAAGGAAGTAAGTCTATTTGTCCCTTGTATCTTGATAAAGAAGCCTCTTGCCTTTCCCCCTTTTTGGTTTGGGTATATTAGAATATTGAAGAATAAACTTGGGGTGTTCAGTATTCACTGGGCTGCCCATCTTTACCTGCTGCTTCTCCATCCACACTCCCCATCTCAGGTATAAACTGGGCAAGTTGGCTGGATCCAACTGAAGCCCCACAAAGACAGTAACTACAGATGACCCCTCAACGTGGGGCTACTACACAAACTGACATAAAACTAGCAGCTCACTTCTGAACTCAAAGCTGATTCCTCCTCAGCCCTACTTGGCTTACATAGCCACCTGACCAAGTTTATGAGCAGGTAGGTGGGAACAGTTGTAAAGTCATTCAGAGGTCATACAAGCTAGAGATGGCAAAGATTCTTGTTGGACCATTTTTAATAACTCTGGCTGAGGCTGTGCCTTCAGGAGCCAGGGTGCTTTGTGTATGTATGGTTGTCTAAGGATCTATGGAACATCTAAGTTAGTTGGTGTTGGCATAAATGTAGTCTGGGTATATGTTTTACTGATATTCTTTTTCCCCAAGGCAGCCAGTATAATAAGAAAGAGTCCAACAGCTGCCAGTTAGGGAGTCAGATGGTTTCATTCCCAGCACCTTTGATAACTTACACAAGATGAATGTCAGGAGGAGTACTTATAGCAAAGACTTAAGAATTTATCATTAACACTAACAGAGTTTCCAAATACCTCCTTTTACATTCGAGGGCTCTGCCTTATTAAGCACTGGCTGTGAGTTCGGCTTCAGTGTGGGCATTGAGAATGAACAGTGAAAAGCAGAGTCTCTGCCTTATTTGGTCCTCTATTCTATAGATGCTGACTAGTTTTATGTCAGCTCAACAGAAGCTACAGTCATCGTAGATGAGGGAATCTCAGTTGAGAAAATGCCTTCAGAAGATGGGGGTATAAGCAGGTAACCCTGTAAGCCATTTTCTTAGTTAGTGATTGCTACCCCTGTCTTGCTCAGCCTGCTTGCTTTCTTTCCTTCCTTTTTTCTTTCCTTTTTTCTTTCCTTCCTTCCTTCCTTCCTTCCTTCCTTCCTTCCTTCCTTCCTTCCTTCCTTTCTTCTGAGACAGGGTTTCTCTGTGGCTTTGGAGGCTGTCCTGGAACTAGCTCTTGTACACCAGGCTAGTCTCAAACTCACAGATATCTATCTGTCTCTGCCTTCCAAGTGTTGGGATTAAAGGGTGTGCCACCACTGTCCGACCTCAGCCTGCTTTCTTAAAGAACCCATTACCACCAGACCAGGGATGGCACCACCTACAATGAGCTGGACTTTCACCCATCAATCACTAATGTAGGAAGGCCAGCTTTATGGAGACATTTTGTCAATTGAGTTTGTCTCCTCTCAGATGATTATAGCTTGTGTCAAGTGGACATCAAACCATTCATCACAGGCAACATAGCAAAGTTCATTACAGGCAATTCTGAAAAACAGGTGACTATCTTGAAAAAAGAAATGTAGTTTGCATCTTTTGTATAAAGGAAGGACTAATTTCTTACATATACACATTCATCTATAGATAGATACATGCCAGAATAAAGTCTTATTACTTCGCATAAGGTATGCCACATATCACTGACAGCAAAAGAACTGTTTCCTTTTACAGATTCAGTCCAGGGGCAGATAGTACAGAATGTATTATATTATCCCTATGAAAGGATGGGAAGAAAACAAAACATTTGTACACATTTTTTATTTGTATGTATATAAACTATGGCCAGGACAGAAGTATAAAGCTCAGTGTATTTCTACCTTTCCACATAGTTTGGATTTTTTAAATAATGTTACCTACTATAATTAAATTTTAAAAAGCTATGTCAATGGGAGTTAAGGTCTGTCAGCATTTTGTCCTTCAATATTTGTATTTCAAAAAAATTATATAATGACTTCATGAAAACCTGTAATTTATTGTTATTTTTTACCAATTTTTTTCACAGAAATCCTATCTCTGGGGATCTATCATAAGTCATACTTAACAATGACCATGTAGCTTTTGCTAAAATTTAAAAATGTTTGTGATTGGTTAACTAGTTAAAACAACGGAACATACACATAGAGAATGCTATAGTGAATTGCATTTTATTAAACATAGTTAACTGATAATATTTCTGTCTTAATCTAACTTTTCTTTCTAAAATTGATAAATTACATTTATTTTGTGTTGGGGAGGGTGGGGTGTATGTGTGTGGATGTGAGCATGTCATGGCACACATGTTGAGTCAGAGGACTTGTGAGAGCTGAATTCTCCTGCAGTGTGGGTCACAGGGATCACACTCAGATCTTAGGCTTGCAACAATATCTTTACTTCTGTTGTATCTCACCATCTCTCTAGCCATGTGTTATGTGTAGATTAGTGTCTTCTAATTTATATTACATTGTACCTTGTCAAAAAGCTGAAAATCCAGCAAGTAGTAAAAGATAGAATTTGGATCCCTAAGAAGATTGGCTCAGCCAGAAAGGATGTCTGACCTGCTTTTAGTCATGCTCTCCCCAAGCCCCCACCCCACCCCCAGAACTGATTCCCACAAGTTCTTCTCCAACCTTCACAGAACTGATTCCCACAAGTTCTTCTCTAACCTTCACAGGAGGCTTCAGGAACTTATATAGGACTGAGGTAGGGGATGGGAATCGTAGGATAGGGTAAGGTGACATGAAGAGTAAGGGCCAATAGTATTCCACCAAGCAGGCAGGTAGCTAGGCAGGGGGCAACCTTACATCAGGTCTGCCTGAGTCACCCCCACATGGAGGTTACAGGTCAGAGACAAGTCACCAAACTCAAGTCAGACTCAGGAGATTACACTGGGCCTCGTATCCCTGCCTTTCTTAGGCCCAACACAGAGTGGAAGACCATGGTCACATCTCAACCTCTGACTTTCAGAATATTTCACAACGATCAACAATATGAAATATTGGTGAAAATGATACATCACACAGCTAACAACATAAATGTCTAAAATATATACTATATTTCAGGAAGACATTCTCTCCTCTGTGATGGGACATGCTACAACATGTTTTGTTTTATTACTTTCCTACCAGGCTGGGATCTTCAGTAGAAAAACCCTACTTTAGCCAGGCACAGTAGGACATGTCTTTGCAATCATGGTATTTTGGAGGTGGAGGCAGGAGGCATTCAAGATCATACTCAGCTGCATACTGAGCTACCCTGGTCTCAACCCACTAAAACAAATAAAGAAATCAGATTACTTTAAACTTTTACTTTAAAGTAAACAAACGGAAGCTTCCAAATATATAGACTTATATATTCATAATTACGTGTGACAAGTGTTCAATGCCAGATCTCCCTCACCTTTTGACATTGAATGATTAAGGAATCAGATCTCTCTCTCTCTCTCTCTCTCTCTCTCTCTCTCTCTCTCTCTCTCTCTCTCTCTCTCTCTCTCTCTGTGTGTGTGTGTGTCTCCTCTTTCTCTCTCCATACTACCTCAGTCACTACCTTGATGGCCTGACCCAAACTCCTAGCTTTAAAAACACATATATCAAAGATTCAAATTTATAACTTCATCTTCACACAAGCTGTTATTAAAGCCACAGAATGATTCCGAGCAGCAGAACTAAGGAACTCTGACTCACATTAGTCTATCAACAGCATTTGACTCAGCTGGTGAGTCCAGGATTCTACTTGATAATTTCCCAGGCTGCAGACTCACAGAACTGTGATTTGCCCTCTCTCAACTTCATCTCTTTCTTCTGCTTCTAAGTCTTCCTGTCACTCTATGTTTGAGGGCCTAACATTTAAAGAAAGTACTCAACAAATTAAAATCATATCACTATACAAAGAAAATCTATTAACTATCCAAACAATTTGAGTCAAATGAGAATGAAATGGAACTACTTAAAATGCATATACTAAAAAGTTAATAAGAAATATGCTAACCAGCATCTAATACAATGTAAATTAAAACCAGGAATTAAAATGCCTGCTAAAATCAATACCTTGTATTTTTGTAGCAAAAGCAGCATAAAAATGCATGGGATTCATATTGGAATTTGTAAAAGGTGGATTTATTTATTTTGCTGTCAACTATGAAAAACTCCACATGCTATTTTTAAGAGTAAAATATAGTGGAACTTTAAAAATTGGCAATTTAGCTGGATACAAGAAATCAATATGCTTCTTGCCTCTTAGCAATGAGGTAACAAAAAATAAAAGGCCATGAGAAATGTTCCAATCACAGCAGAAATATCTAGTTTATTGGAGAGAACAGTAGATTCAAAAATAGACCGTAGATCCTATTATGTAAGAAGTTTAGAAATAAAAAAGTTATGTTAGCCCAGTGAAAGGAATGAATGGATTACTTAACAAATGGTTTTGGAACAGCTAACCAAAACAACAATAAATATATGATTTATGAATTAGAAACTATTTTTCTTTTCTTTTGGCAATACTGGGAATTAAACCCAGGGTCACATGCTAGGCAAATGTTCTAATGTTGGGCTACATGCTAAGCCTTTTTTTTTTTTCCAGCCCTCCATCCTTTCAACTTCCTATTTTGAGGTAGGATCTTGCTAATTTGCTCATGATGGTCTCAAAAAACCCCATTCTCTAGTCCAGGCAGTACATAAATTTGGAATCATATTTCCTCAGCCTCTTAACTAGATGTGTGTACCAGACTCACCCAGATGAGCCTAAAAATGTCTTAAAAAGCAACATTCTTAAAAATCTAAAAGGTACTAAGGTGTAATTTCTTAATCAAAACCTGAAACCCAGAAGCCATTAAAGACATATGCATATTTAACACACTAAAACATTTATATACAATATTCAAAACATTAAATTTAATATGAAAATTTAAAAAATGCCACAGAAAATAAAGAAGATCAAAGATAGAACACTGTGCAATGCTGATGGTGAAAAAAAATTTTCTACTATACTAAAAAATATAATAGATGCAAGGGTAGAGATGGCTCAGTGGTTAAGAACACTTGTTCTTGTAGAGAACAACCTCTTGGTGGTTTGTTCCCCATACCCACATGGTGGCTCATAATCATCTGTTAACTCTACTTCCAGGGCATGTACAGTACACACACATACATGTGAGAAAAACACTAACATAAAAATAAGCATACATCTAAAACAAGCAAGCAAACAAAACCATAATGGAACAAAAAGAGAGACCACTGGGAAAAAAAATGAGCAAGAAATACAAGCAAGAAATTCCCAGATGGAATATTAAAATAGCCAACAAAGTAGATGCTAGTGATCAAGATAGTTTGAGTTAAGATAACTGAAATTATTCTACATCCTTTAGACTCTGCAGAAATTAATGAGCCCACACAGAGGAAGGGAAGTGGAAAATGACACTCTTCTGGAAGCTGAGATGTTCTTTTACTAAAAATGTAAAATATACTTTATAATTAGAAGTATGGAATCCTATTTGTTGCATCATGTTCAGTTTAGTGTTTACCAACATATTAACAAATGGATAGATCAGAATACTTCACGTGAAAGACTTTTTTTGGTTAAAAACAAGACAAACACACCCAACCAAATCCTCCCTTAACTTGTTTTAAGGCAGCCTCTGGCTTTGTAGCCTAGGCTGCCCTGAATTCAGGATCCTTTATCTTCAGCTTCCCATGTGCTTGAGATAAAAGGTCTGTGACCTTACTAATTGATTTTCTAAAATGTTGTTGAAGAAAAACAAGACACCCAAGTGTGCATATGTCACTTTTCACTATATTAACCCTAACTGAAAGACAAAGCAATTATTGTTTAGGGCCAAGTGCAAAAAAAAAAAAAAAGGAAAAGAACAAAAACAAAATAAATCCAAAAAGCTAAGTTCAGAGTTGGAAAGATGGCTCAGATGGTAAAAGGCACTTGCCACCAAGCCTGATGATTTGCGCTAATCCCCTGAACCCAAATTTGTGGAACAGAACCAATTTCAAGTTGTTCTCTAATCCCCAGGCACAAATGTACAAACAATCCACATCAATAGTTATTTTTTTTAAAACTGAACTCAAAGGATTGAGTAGGGGAGTCCAGTCAAAGACTTGGGGAGGAGAGAAGGGTACCTGGGAGGCAGCTGACTCAGTTCAAGATCACAAATGGGTAGCAAAATCTATGGCAGGCTTAAAGACCTGCCAGTGACATTTCCAGTACTACATAGAAGGAACAACTCTGCCCTAAGAGCTCAAGAACCAAGCATTCCCTCACAAAATCAAACTTCCAAGCGCTCAGCGTTCCTGTAAAGAACCCAACCTTCTGAGGCTTGAAAAAAACCCAATTGTTCTTAATCTAGTCCGGACCATGTCCCATTTCCTCAGTGCTACAGCACACATCACCCACCTTGAGGACCTGCGTTCCCAGCCTCATGTTGGCAGCACAGGGGACTTACCTTGGAGAAGTGCGTGCCAACCGTACTAACACACCATCAGGAAGGTTAACTTATCGACCACACCTGGAAACAGAGCAGTTCCTCCCTGGGCTACCATTTCGTCTTTTAACTCCACCCAGCTAAGGTTATTTTCAGTTACTTGGGAATGTTACTTAACTATGCAGTAAAGTGTAGTCAGAGCTAGACAGACCAACCATAGCCTGTCACTGATAGGTTTGGTGGGGAAAAGCCCCCAGCTGCCACATACAATGTCTACTCGAAACTAAACATGGCTTGTACCAAATAAAAGTGAGATGAGTGCCAAGCTCTTTGAGTTATGTAGGTGGCTCTGAAAAGAGCCGTTGGGTTACTGGAAAAAAGCCTCCAACCGAACTGTTCACTTCTTCTTGGGCGCCGGCTTCTTGGGCTTAGCTGCGGTCTTCGGCTTTGTCACCTTCGCCTTGGCAGCCTTGGGCTTCACCGCCTTCGCTTTGGCGGGGCTTTTGGCTACCTTCTTGGGCTTCACCACCTTCGGCTTTTTTGGGCTCTTGGAAGGCTTCTTCGAGACGGCAGGCTTCTTGGGCTTCTTCGGTGTCTTCACAGTCTTCTTGGCTGCAGCCCCAGCGGTCTTCTTGGGTTTTTTCGACGCCCCCGATGCCTTCGCCTTCACTGACACCTTAGTGGTGCTAGACTTCGCCTCTGCCTTCTTGTTGAGCTTGAAGGAGCCGGAGGCGCCGGTGCCCTTGGTCTGCACCAGGGTGCCCTTGCTCACCAGGCTCTTGAGCCCCAGCTTGATGCGGCTGTTGTTCTTCTCCACATCGTAGCCGGCGGCCGCCAGAGACTTCTTGAGCGCGGCCAGGGACACGCCGCTGCGCTCCTTGGAAGAGGAGACAGCCTGCACAATGAGCTCGGACACCGAGGGCCCAGCGGGCTTCTTACGAGGTGCCGCTGCCTTCGCGGGCTTCTTAGTTTTCTTTGCAGCCGCAGGCTTCTCTGGAGCCGCGGAAGAAGCTTGAGCGACTGGAGGGGTCTCCGACATGGTTGCTGCAGAAGACAGGACAGCGAATTCCAAAACGAAGAATAGAAGTAGAGAGACAAGGGCTCCGCGCGGCGTATTTATAGAGCAGGGCCGCGCTGTGATTGGTGCACGCTAAAGCCCGCCCCTTGAACTCTGGAAGCCACGCCCCCTCGAGCTCCGATGCGTTTGCAAGATCTTTGCTCCAAAGTAGTCCTGGAGTCCAGGACTCCAGGGACCTATAATCATACTGCGTCTCTGTGCACAGAGGCGCTCCCAAGTCTCTCGCTGCCTGCTTGAGGTGGGAATTTCAAGCACAGCAGGGACACCACAGACGGTAGATGTCTATCAAAAAGTAGCTCACCTGGTGAAGGGTGTGTGTAAATTAGTCAATCTAAACCCAAGCAGTTTGTAGAGGTGTTAGAGATCGCTTGTAGATATCGGAATGTTCCATGGTTAGAGGATCAGAAAAGCAGGCTGTAGACCTTGTTTACGAGCTTCTGTACTGAAGAGCTTTGTAACGTTACTTTATATTTTGTTTTAGTTAAGGAAAAAAGCTTTTTAGGGCGTTAAAAAGCTTTTGCTATACTGATTTCACGTTTCGAACCGATAGTGCTATTAACATATGGTTATTCAGTAAAATACTGACAAAGCACCCATTGTTGGTCGGGAAAGCAAAGCCAAGACACTACTTGTCATCCCAACAAGTCCGAAATAGCTATGGGGGAAAGACTTGTCTAATTTCTTTCAAAGAAAATACAAAACAATAGAATCATTATGACCAGTTATATTATTGTCTTATAAGAAAAAGTTGGAAGGGTGATTTCTGGCCAAGAATGCTTGAAAATATTTACGTTTCAGTGCAACAACTCAAAGGATTTAAGCAAATTCAGCTATTTAATGGAGAAATGTGCAAAATAACCTGAGTCAGATTTTTGTACTATCTTAATGCCATGTTTCTGTCCATTGTTTAAATTGTACCTTAAGAATCGGAAGGGAGACGCTTCATGCAAATAAGGGATTCAAGATCTGCTTTTTTAGTGGCTGTTAAGGAAAACAAGTAAACCAATCAAAACGTAGAATCTGGCCTACCATCATCCAATACAGAGTTTCATTAAGCATTTCAATACTCGACACATCAAGTTTGTTCTCGATTCTTCAGTGACAGCAACGCAGTGTCTATGTCTTGACCGGCAGATGTTCTGGAACAGTTGACAGTCACCACAATTTTATTTCATTTTATTTAAAACACACGCGTGAAAAAGGCTGCTCCAGTATAACAGGGAAAATGCAATTGCAGTTCTTCAGCCAATTAGAATCGTAAACGTCACAGGTGAAGCGTGGTTTCACCCAATCACTATTTTTTGTACGCTATAAATACTGGCTCTGTGGGCAGCAAAGACCGCGTCCTTCCTGAGCTGTGTCTTAAGTAACCAAGCTTTGGGTATAACTGCTGTCTACTATGGCTCGTACAAAGCAGACCGCTCGCAAGTCCACCGGCGGCAAAGCCCCGCGCAAGCAGCTGGCCACCAAGGCTGCCCGCAAGAGCGCCCCGGCCACCGGCGGCGTGAAGAAGCCTCACCGCTACCGGCCCGGCACCGTGGCGCTGCGCGAGATCCGGCGCTACCAGAAGTCCACCGAGCTGCTGATCCGCAAGCTGCCGTTCCAGCGCCTGGTGCGCGAGATCGCCCAGGACTTCAAGACCGACCTGCGCTTCCAGAGCTCGGCCGTCATGGCGCTGCAGGAGGCCTGTGAGGCCTACCTGGTGGGTCTGTTTGAGGACACCAACCTGTGCGCCATCCACGCCAAGCGAGTCACCATCATGCCCAAGGACATCCAGCTGGCCCGCCGCATCCGCGGGGAGAGAGCGTAATTTAGATTTTGAAACGTTGACCAAAGGCTCTTTTCAGAGCCACCCACAACTTCGTAAAAAGGCTGTGAACTGTACTTAGTCTGCTTCTCAAGCCCACGTTCGGCTTCCGATTCGAATTTAAAACAATAGTTTTTTGACATTTCATAGTTGATTCCATTGCCCATGCCGGTAGCCCCATTGGAGAGTGCGGTTGTACCATTTTATTCTGACGGTTTTAAAGAAAAATCCCCTTAGATAGTTTCAATACACGTTTTACGCTGATTCTCAAAGTAATGGGGTAACACTCAAGGGGCGCGACTGGTGCCAGTTTTCCCGCCGGCGGGTTTTCGGTTGTCTTGGGCAAATCTGCCTCCTCACTTTCCCGCCGGCGGGCTTTGGCTACGTGGTGAGGGCTAAGGGCGGGGGTTTGTGTCGTCATTTCCCGCCGGCGGGCTTTGGCTCTGTGGAAGCTAAGGGCGGGGTTTGTGTCGTCACTTTCCCGCCGGCGGGCTTTGGCTCTGTGAAGAGGGCTTAGGGCGGGGTTTGTGTCGTCACTTTCCCGCCGGTGGGCTTTGCCTCTGTGGAGAGGGCTTAGGGCGGGGTTTGTGTCGCCACTTTCCCGCCGGCGGGCTTTCGGCTCTGTGGAGAGGGCTTAGGGCGGGGTTTGTGTCGTCACTTTCCCGCCGGCGGGCTTTCGGCTCTGTGGAGAGGGCTTAGGGCGGGGTTTGTGTCGTCACTTTCCCGCCGGCGGGCTTTCGGCTCTGTGGAGAAAGCTAAGGGCGGGGTTTGGGACGTCACTTTCCCGCTCGCGGGTTTTCGGTATTTGCGTTCTGTTTGGGTGGGGACTAACTAAGGCGAAGCAACTATATAAGGACCCACTCTCAGGTTTCCTTCATTTTCCTTTTAGCTCTCTCAGTCTCTGTAGTCATGTCTGGCCGTGGTAAGGGCGGAAAGGGTCTTGGCAAGGGCGGCGCCAAGCGCCACCGCAAAGTCCTCCGCGACAACATCCAGGGCATCACCAAGCCCGCCATCCGCCGCCTGGCCCGCCGTGGCGGAGTCAAGCGCATCTCCGGCCTCATCTACGAGGAGACCCGCGGGGTGCTGAAGGTGTTCCTGGAGAACGTGATCCGCGACGCGGTCACCTACACGGAGCACGCCAAGCGCAAGACCGTCACCGCCATGGACGTGGTCTACGCGCTCAAGCGCCAGGGCCGCACGCTCTACGGCTTCGGCGGCTAAAGGCTTTTCATTCTTTTGTTCTCATAACCAAAGGCCCTTCTCAGGGCCGCCCATCTACTCTTGGAAAAGTGTTGTAATGCTGAGCCATGCTTTTTGTATTTTATTACATCCCAGAAAACGAAGGTTGGGGGAAGCATAAATATTAGCCACTTGTAAATGGAAATACAATGTGCTTTAGTTTTCTTCGTGTACATTCGGTGGATTGGATAGGGAGATCTCAAAGGTACTGATTAGAAGCGTCTTGCAGAAGTTTGGGCAGCCAAACAGCTTCTTGGTTCCTTGAGGGGAGCCAGAATTGAGGAGGAATGGGCTTTGACTGCATAGTTTTTAATGAACTGGGGAGTCCTGATGTCGGAGAAATGTTTACTGTTGTGTAAATATAGCTCCCATTTCATGGTCGCCATTTACACCCACACCATGTCGGCGGTTAGTAAAGCCAGGTGTGTTTGAATGACCTGTACTACGGTTATTTGTGCTTGGATGTATGCAATTTTGGGAAGTAAACTGCTACAATTTCGGGTTCAAACCGTAAAAGTTTCAGAACCCAACTAAAAGGGGATGTGAGCTCACTTGATTTCTATCTAGTCTGTTTTCTCCTGGGCTTGCCTAGACAGGATTACTGTTTACCACCACACCCAGCTTGGCAGCACCTTTTGTTTTGTTTCTTTAGTGTTTGTTTATATATTTTTCTTTAACTTTTTATTTTAGGCATTACTTTTATAAGGGACACATTCGAACCTCAGCCTATCACTGTTAGCTTATGTCTGAATGTTTATCGCTGATTTGGTATTCCGGTTTTCCAACCGTGGATTTCTAGCGGGCTGATGGGGGGGGGGGGCACACGAAGTATTCAGCATAGCTTCGTTTTAAACTAATGAAGAGAATTCATAGGCACTTCCTGGAAGGTTTCAGGAATAGACCAGACAGAGGAACAAGTAGAGGTCTCTTTCATAAGGTAGGTATATGAATTAAGGACAATCGTGAATTACAATTCCTGGAAAGAAGCTGAGTCTTCAAAGGCTGAGTGACTGGACCTTCAGTAATGTGGAGAGGGTGGAATGTTTTGCATTCAGAACACAATTACAATTTATTAGAGGTAATCTTTAGCCCCCAAAATAATTATTGCTTGCCAATCTCTGTGTTAGACCTAACCCTATGACTAACATAAAAAAACTTCTTGAAGTGTATTTAAAAAGTCTAGTTTCTACCAACCAAAAGGCTGAGTCATTAGCACCTGAGACCAATAGCTGAGATTTCTCTCTTTGGTTGTGACTGCTTATGTAATGTTCCCACCAATATATTTGAAAAGTTCCTTATATAAAATGGCTTTCTTAGCTACTATAAAAGTTTCATGAAGTTGCTTCCACACAGGAACATAGAATTGGGGGTAACCTAAAGAAGTTCTTGGACACTCATATTTGGGTCCCAAGAAAACTATCTCATACTCTGAAGTGAGAACTGTGTTTTTACGGCAACACTATTTACCGTGACTAGTATGGTAATTTAGCAGAATATTCTGTGCAGAGAGTAGATTTAATCTTTTTAAAAATTATAATCCCACCATTATGCTGAGATATAGCTACAAGCTGCCTCTATTATAAATTTTGGTGCTGCTAAAAGATGAACCTGGCTTCCCAGCCAGGATATGCAGTTCTATTGAGCATAAAGTATTTTCAGAACACATTAGTAGATAAGATGTAGTTCCAGGGATGATGAAAAGGTCTAAGAACTGAGGCAGAATACACAATACATACAATACAATCTCATTTCTGAATCTCACCATGTACCACAGAGCACAGGCTGGCCTCAAATCTGAGATCTTTCTGGAGTTCTGGGATGACAGATGTTGGTCAGAGTGTAGTAAAATCTCACAATGGATATAGATCATAGGTTGTTTCTTCTGCTGAAACTACCTATTCACTTTACAAATAATGTTGCACTACATGTTTTATGTTATAGTCTCATTTAGTTTTGTTATTTAGCCTGTCAAAATTCATGGGAGAGGGAGTTTCAAAGACTATATGAAGATGTTGAAGCTCTGTACAAACAACCTGCAAACATGTCTATATACATTATCTGTAGTAACTAACATAGATTTAATGTCAGTATTTGTCAAGAAAAATATCGCATACATGTCAGTGATATTCGTACCACTATTTTCATCTTCTGGTGGTCAGAACTCACAAAACAGTAAACTGCATGTAGATGAGCTCAGATTTCTCAACGTAATCATCACTCCTTTTTATTCAATTCTTTTTAACTCCTCGAGAGTCAGACGTGCTTATTTCACACAGCCCCCACCCGCTTTTTGGTTTTATTTAGCGACAGGCTTTCTCTGTAGCCCTGGAACTCACCCTCAGACGGGCGCGCGCGGGGGGTGCTGCTTCTGAATTAACGGACTTTCCCAACACTGGAGAACCTCTTCTGGTTGACTTCCCTAAACATGGCTCAATTTCCAAGCAGTGGGGGCTGCCCAAGGACAGATTATGTTCAGAATGGCCAAGAGACACGGCAATGTACAGCTTTTTGAGGATCAAGTGGTGGTCCTGAAAAGGACCTTTTGCGAAAATGGAGAATACGCAACAATGGCTTAACCGCCGAAGCCGTAGAGCGTGCGGCCCTGGCGCTTGAGCGCGTAGACCACGTCCATGGCGGTGACGGTCTTGCGCTTGGCGTGCTCCGTGTAGGTGACCGCGTCGCGGATCACGTTCTCCAGGAACACCTTCAGCACCCCGCGGGTCTCCTCGTAGATAAGGCCGGAGATGCGCTTGACTCCGCCACGGCGGGCCAGGCGGCGGATGGCGGGCTTGGTGATGCCCTGGATGTTGTCGCGGAGGACTTTGCGGTGGCGCTTGGCGCCGCCTTTTCCCAAGCCTTTTCCGCCCTTACCACGACCAGACATGATTAGATTCCTAAGCTGCTAAACAAACTGAACAGCCCAGTCGACGGCGGCTTATTATGGCTCCTGTCGGACCTGGTTGAGAACCTCAAATGGGCGGGGACCAAGACTGCCAACGCACCTTTTGCTCCGCCCACAGTAGGGCGGAGACCAAAGAACACAACACTGTAAATATGGCCGTTCCAAGGGCCCCTTTAAAAGAAAGATCCCCCTACACACACAGACACACACACACAGACACACACACACACACACACACACATACACACATTCTCTCTCCGGCAAAGGACCCCTTTAAAAGAAAGATCCCCCTACACACACAGACACACACACAGACACACACACAGACACACACACAGACAGACAGACACACACATTCTCTCTCTGGCTCCTCTCTTCCTAGCTCTCTTCTCTTTCCCTCTCTTTCCTGCTGTTCTCCTGGGTCAGACAGGAGTTTTCTCTTCTGTCTTCTCTGTCTCCTTGACTCTGTTCTCTATGCACTCACCCCCTTCCCTTTTTGAAGACAAACAAATAAACTAAGCTCTTCTTTGCCTGGCATGCTCACCCCTCCACCTGGGTCACACTAGATTGCCGTGGAATCTTCCGAGGTTCCCCTGGAGCTTTATCATAACAACTCATGTCAAAAGAGCAGAAAAGTGAAAATTCCGATGTGAAAGACACTAGAAGAACAAAATAAAACATTTTTGTTACTAGGAGTAACTGAGGCAGAGAAAAGTTGGTACAAGTAAACCTTGTTAAAATACTTTGTTCACATAGCTCAAGTCCCTTTGCTTTGTCAAATCATTGCACTTGGCTATTCTTTGCCTGATTCTTTATAATAATCGATTCACAGCTGCTTTGGGTTAATCATTTTGTTCACTTGTTTTTGTTTTTGGAGAGAGTTTCTGGAACTTGCTCTGTAGACCAAGCTGGCTTAGGTTTGCCTGTCTTTGCCTCCGAAGTGTTGGCTACTATTTTTTTTTTTTTTTTGGTTTTTATAAGACAGGGTTTCTCTGTATTGTTTTGGAGGCTGTCGGTCCACCCTGGCCTCGAACTCACAGAGATTCGCCTTCCTCTGCCTCCTGAGTGCTGGGATTAAAGGCGTGTGCCACCACAGCCCAGCGATTTTTTAATTAGAGCAGTAAAGCTGCTAAATGTTTGATGGTTATATTCTCTTAATTTAATTTGGAAGTCCCTAGCAGGACTCCCAAGAGAATGGAGGTGGGATTTGTATGTTCTCATTCAAAGGGATGAATTAATGGATTTGTGAACTGGTAGTTTTCCCCTTCTCCATTTTTGCCTATAAAACTTGTCTGATAATGCTACCAGTATTTTGTGACATCTGGATTGCATAATACATTAAGATGAGATTGTTCCAAAGAAGTACTACATAAACATATTCTTTGTTAATATTTGCTGGCTAGTTTTACAGCAACTTGACACAAGCTAGAGTCATCATAGAGGAAGAAGCCTCAGTTGAGCAAATGCCTTCATTAAGATAGGTCTGTAGGCAAGCCTGAAGGGCATTTTCTTAATTAGTGACTGATGGGAGAGGACCCAGCTCATTGTGGATGGTGCCATCCCTGGGCTGGTGGTCCTGGCTTCCACGAGAAAGCAGGTTGAGCAAACCAGAGGATCAAGTTAATAAGCAGTGCTCCTCCTTATTCTCTGCACCAACTTTTGCCTCCAGGTTCCTGCCTAAGTTCCTGTCCTGATTTTTATCAATGACGAGGAGAGATGTGACAGTATAAGTTAAAATAAACCCTTCCTCCCCAAGTTGCTTTTGGTAATGATGTTTTATCATAGCAATAGTAACCACACCTAAAACTTTAAATACAGAAGTATTTTCATGTCATCTAATTGCTTCCAACATACTATCACTATCATGTATATTAGGATTGCTTTTAATCACTGCATATACATATATACATGTGTGAATATATATGATAATGGCAGATTCTGTTTTGTATTTTGTGGGTGAAATTTTAAAAATTGTTTGAAAAGTTCTTTTGGTCCTTTTCCTCAAGGTGTATTGGAAATCATACCCCACTTTTCCGCAGTCAAGATGCAGTGTGCTTCTAGTTTCTGAAGTTCATTTGCTTTTTTTCTACATGCTTAATTTTGCTGAGATACTTCTTACTCAGGAAGTTGCTTCTACTGATCAAGAAAAAAAAATCCTTCTGTCTTTCTATTCACTTTCCATTTTCTATTTCCTTCTGCTCCTTCTTCTCTTCCTTATTTTTTCCAGAAAGAGTCTCACCATGTAACCATGGATGGAATTTGTAGTCTTCTGGTCTCAACCTCCCAGAGCTGGGTTAGTGGCTTATGCCACTGTATATGACTTTACTGTTAAACTTTTTAAATCTAAAGAGTGGGTCCTGAACTTGAATCTTTCCTTTTCTTTAAAAGCCTTGAACGCTCATACTAACTGTTGTCTTCAAGAGCACTAGCTATAATTTTCATCCTGTGCCTAATATCACTCTGGGTACCTGGATGACAGATGTTTACTGAAGATCTTGGAACAAACAATATCTAATGTATCTAATGCATGCTATGTGTTCAATTATATATAGAGGAATTTAAAACTTTACTGTGAGGACCTGCATCTGGGCCTGAGAATGAATTTGGGGAAAAAATGTTTTATATAACTTACAGGACAAGGCAACGAGAATCCATACACAAATGAAGACCAAAACAAATGATAAAAACTTAAAAGTGTTTTTATTCCAAGTGAAGGTAGAGAGAGGCAATTGTGGGAGAGTAAGTTATGAGTAAACTCTAAAGAAAGCTAAATATTGTTTTAGCAAATTTCCAAATTCACTTAGCATTTAGTAACTGATAGTTTGTTACACAATGATCTCATCTACAGTCTTCTGCACAAGAATATTTCATTTCTCCTGTTTTAGGGAGAGAATAGGGAGATACTAGACAATACTTCCCCTTGCTAAAACAAACCTAAAAGACCTTGAATTTCTTCCGTTGTTCATTTTTAAGTCCATGATAATATTTTATTTATAAATTTAGGAGACTGTATGCAACTAAGTGATGCCAAGTAAATAGGAAAATAAAAATATACAGTTCAGAAAAATTGAAACCAGGCATTCAAATATACCCCATTGACAATCATGAAAGAGAGATGGTGTTGATCCCATTTTCAGATGGAGAAAATGATTCCTTTCAGATGATACAATAGGTACCAAGGGTAGCATTGGAGCCTGAGCAAGCTTCCCACATAAATGGCTACATTATGCTGCTAGGACCCTTCTCTTTAAACAAGTTTATCTATTGATTAATTTATCTTTGTGAAATCCTATTAAAGCCTCACGTAAATGAATACTAAATTCAGAATCCATTTCTAACCCTTGGTTTTAGGACTATGGAGCCAGAAAAAAGAGCCATCTTATTACAGAAAAAAAAAAGGTAAGTATTGCCTGTCAATACCAAGCCCAAAAATGCTAGTTTCTTACAGATGGAGATGATATACAAAAAACAAAAGTAAAGCAGGAGACATCCAAGTCAGCACAGCTGAAACCTAAATATTGAAATGCTGCGCCTTTGTGGGAGCCTGTTGTCTTGGATGACAAGTAGTTGCCAGGCAGAGCTGTCTTTAATAGCTCCTGGAAAAGTCAACTACTAGGAAGTACACATTTACTTTCTGCCTCTTTTGTGTTTCCTGGGTATTGAATCTAAGGCTTTACACTGGCTACACAGGTACTGTCTCGCTTTGACCTCTATTTCAACCATTGAGACACGGTCCTACTAGATTACCAAGGCTATCTTTGTACTCACCCTATAACCCAAGCAAAGCTCAAACTTGAGATCCTGTCCCTTCAGACCCACACAATGCTTACTTTCATGATTTAAAGGAAAAGCCTCCGTAGTATTAATAGTTTCAAAAACATGGTACAAAACTTACTTACAACCATTACTTGATATATTACATCATATTTTACTGGAGGCACTACTTCCAATTAATCACTTCCCAGCACGAGTTAACACCACTAAACACTGATTAAGGTTCTGGGAGACAAAAGTGGCACAACCAACAAGATATACACCAAAGTACAACATTAGAAAGTTAAGGCACTTCAACGCTGGAGTTAAGAGACTTGAAATTTAAATCAGCACACGGTATAGGCAAGACCATAAATTGGTGACCACTAATCTATTCTTAATTACAGCTGCTTTTGCCGAAAACGTGGGTGGCTCTGAAAAGAGCCTTTGTGTTCAGGTTCGCACTCACTAGCCTTTAGGCCCTTTCCCCGCGGATGCGGCGGGCCAGCTGGATGTCCTTGGGCATGATGGTGACTCGCTTGGCGTGGATGGCGCACAGGTTGGTGTCTTCAAACAGACCCACCAGGTAGGCCTCGCTGGCCTCCTGCAGCGCCATGACGGCCGAGCTCTGGAAGCGCAGGTCGGTCTTGAAGTCCTGCGCGATCTCGCGCACCAGGCGCTGGAACGGCAGCTTGCGGATCAGCAGCTCGGTGGACTTCTGGTAGCGCCGGATCTCACGCAGGGCCACGGTGCCCGGTCGGTAGCGGTGGGGCTTCTTCACGCCGCCGGTGGCCGGGGCGCTCTTGCGGGCAGCCTTGGTGGCCAGCTGCTTGCGCGGGGCTTTGCCACCGGTGGACTTGCGAGCGGTCTGCTTGGTACGGGCCATGAGTGTAACGTAGAGAAAGAAGTACACACTATGGTACTTCGCAAGCCGCTCTCCTTCTTTTATACAATCAGACTATCCGCTATTGGACCCGAGAACATTCAAATAGACCCGCGCTTTCCCGGGATTGGTCAGTATCTACTCCTGAATCAAAATTAAAATATGCTTTCAGGTTGTTGAATAAACATGCCTCCTCTCCGCCTCTGGGTTCCTCCGCCCACTACACTCCTCCGCCCCTTCGCTTCCGCTTTTATATTTTCACCACTGTAACTGCTGTGGAAAGAAATTTTGCACCGAAATAGACTCAGGGTAATCATACATTTGAGCATAGTAACATTAAAAAAGCTTTTGTGGGATTGACAGATACTGTGAAGAAGTGGGTAAGTACTGTTTATCAGTTCCAAAAATCAAATCTTGTATGCACCATAGGCTTCTCACGGAGCAAACTCCTGTCAGTGAAAACTAAGGGGGAACACCAAACTATGAAGTGTGCTTTAACGCTAGGTAGCCGTTAGTCCTGTTTTATCTCCACATGCTTGATAAGACGACTTTAATATTCAAGTGCTAGGGGATTGTTTTAGTTCATGTATACACACCGGTCGTTAACCTGGGGTCGACTCACTTGGAAAAAACTAATAAACGTATCTCACAACAGTGCCAAACGGTGCCCAAAAAAAGATGGGTTACATCTCACAACAGTGCCAACTGTGCCCAAAAAAGATGGGTTACATCTCACAACAGTGCCAACTGTGCCCAAAAAAAGATGGGTTACGTATCTCACAAGTGCCAAAACTGTGCCCAAAAGATGGCTTTCACTCAAGCGACACAGAAAGAGTTAAGGTTGAGAACGGATAGTAGGACAACTGAGAAAGTTATTAGCTCTTTTACGAGAAAAAGTGGGTGGCTCTGAAAAGAGCCTTTGTTTTGCGTAACTTCCACCAGGGCAGTCCAAGACAAAGATCAAAAACTTATTTTCCCTTGGCCTTGTGGTGGCTCTCGGTCTTCTTGGGGAGCAGCACCGCCTGGATGTTGGGCAGGACGCCGCCCTGAGCGATCGTCACGCGGCCCAAGAGCTTGTTGAGTTCCTCATCATTGCGGATGGCCAGCTGCAGGTGGCGCGGGATGATGCGAGTCTTCTTGTTGTCGCGGGCCGCGTTGCCAGCCAGTTCCAGGATCTCGGCCGTCAGGTACTCCAGCACGGCCGCCAAGTACACCGGGGCGCCGGCGCCCACCCGCTCCGCGTAGTTGCCCTTGCGAAGGAGGCGGTGAACGCGGCCCACGGGGAACTGCAGGCCAGCCCGGGAGGAGCGGGTCTTGGCCTTGGCGCGAGCCTTACCGCCCTGTTTGCCGCGTCCAGACATAGCTAAATCTAAGTGAGAATAAAGAAGTAAAACAAAAGAGGGAAACACAATAACTGATAAGCAAGGAACGAGAAATATTTATACTAACAGGAGGGATTCTGCCCATGTTTTCTCATTGGTTAATATATATTACCCAATAGAAATTAAGAGTTTGGGTTCCTCATTTGCATAAGGCGCTTTCTTTACTGTCTACTCTGTATTTTGTTGTTGTTGTTGTGTTTTTCTTTAATTTTCTACTGAAAACACAATTAAAATAGGCCTCAAGACATCCAGTCTTTGAACTTTCCCCTTAAAAACTTCCTCAGCCAAAAAGAGTACTCTGCTTGTTCCCGAACAGGCAGGGTCTGAGTGGCAACTCTTAATAAAGAAACCTTTTTTACATTCAGTGTGGTGCTTCCTTGGGGGTGGATTTTTGGAGTTCAGAGATCTGGGCATAACACCATTACTTATGCATCTACAGCTGCTGAGTGTTAAGGGCTCATGATCTGATAAATTAGGCTTCTGAAATACAGTTATAGATGAATGAACAGCAGGAAACATATAAATTAGAAGTCTTGAAGCATCACAGGAAAGAAAAATACCTACTCCAAAACTCAGTTTAATTTAGGTGGTTCTGTGATTTTTTTTTTCTCTATAGACCATGGAAATGTAATAAAGAACAGGTAGGCTTTTTTTTAAGGGATTAATACATATATTTTCTTCAAGTATATTAAATTAACGATAACAATGTCTAGTGCTAACTTGTAGAATTTCTTTGATAAACTTGCCCTACTTCAGGTTTAAAGAAGGGATTTATCTAAATTGAACTTCTTTTGTAGGGTTTGTCTTCAGATGACTAAGAGGGGGGTTCAAGAAATCTATGTGTTAGGCTGGTATTTTCAAAATTATTTTATAACACTGGAGTATTTTTGAGAAGCATGGATTATTTTAGTATATAAGAAGAAAATGAAAAAGTTGAATAATGAAATCACAATAAAAGAAATATTATAGGAATGTATTGTTGTGCTAGGCAGTGGTGGCATACACCTTTAATCCCTGCACTTGGGAGGTAGAGGCAGGCAGATCTGTGAGTTTGAGACCTACCAGTTCTACAAGAGTCAGTTCCAGGATAGCATCCAAAGCCATAGAGGAATCATATCTCTAAAAACCAAAGAGAGAAAGAGAGAGAGAAAAAGAGGGGGGGAATGTATTGTTTTAGAATAAAAGTGATTAGAATTAGATTATATTGCCACTTATAATTGCCAACTGGAAAAGATTTAGAAATTGATCATGCACACATATTGGAGAGCAAAATGGTACTTTGGAGGAAGGCAGCTGGGGTATAGGTATTGAAAATATGTTATGTTTATCATTGAACCCACAAATCACACCTTTAATATACACCATAGTGGGTTTCCATAACTGCATAGAGAAGTATCAAAGCATACTTTTATTGTTTGAAAAACTGTCTCAATTTGCCTGCCATGTTTGTATTTGAAATTATTGGTAGTTGTGAGTATTTTACGTAATGGACAGGAGGCATATTTTCAGGAATTATAAAAAAACAAAACACCTGATTCACACATATAATTTAAGTCATAAGATCAAAAACTACTGAGCAAGCAAAAATCAAACAAACACCATTGTGGGCTCCAGATGTAACTGGGTGAAAAGAATGCTTGCATAATACACACGAAGTCACGGGTTTGAATGCCAGAACAATATTAACAGGTATTAATGACACATTCCTACAATCCCAGCTAATCCCAACACTTGGCAGGGAGAAGCAAGAAGATCATAAATATCATGTTGAAAGACCCCAGGCGGGGGGACTTTCACGGGAGGGAGACCCGAACCCAAGGAACACCGAGGCCACGAGCTTGGATGCAAACAGCAAGAGGCTTTATTGATAATACACGGGTACCCGGGGCGTCTCAGTCTCGGGAACTGAGAGCCCCGAGCTGGGGACTCAGGGGTTCTTTTATAGCAAAAAGCGCAGTACAGAAGCGAGAAGCCTAGTTACGGGACCCTGATTGGGTAATTTAAATGAGGCTGGGGCTCAGAACGAGATTTCTCTCATCTGGACAGAGAGGCAATTAAGGTTTCTCTCATCTGGACAGAGAGGCAATTAAGGTTTCTCTCAGAACTCAATTCTCGGCCTTGGCCCTATCTGAAGAACAAAGGTTTCTGTGCCTGCCCAATCTTTCTGGGCTGGCTGTGCAGACCATAGACACCTGGGCCCCTATCTGGACAGAGATAGTAGTGACTATGCAGCTGTAAAGACCTTGAGCTGAGCTTCCTTCTGATCAAAAAAAAATGACTATTCGGCTGAGCTGTGGGGGAAAGGAATTTTCCATAAGCCTCAGCTGCTTGCGCTGGGCCGGGGTCTTTCAATGTCATAGTGATTTCAACTTCTTATTTAATTTAAAATTTTGCTGAAAGATGCTGAAGACAGAATTGAGAAGCCTTCATCTTCCTACTTGCAATTAAGGAAGAAGAGGGCATCCTTTGACTCTTGTTTATGCATTTTGCCCCCTATTTCTCCCAATTATTTTGTTGTCCTTATTTTCCAAAATCTGTCATTGTTTCTTCCAATATGGCATAATATGAAATAAAACATCAACTAATAACGTCTTTCTGTGTGAAAAAAGACCAAAAATAAAGAGGAAATGTGGGCTAGCAAAAGGCAAGAAAACAATCTAGAAAATAATCCCTACATTGTGAGATCATTCAGAAAATGGTAAACAATACAACCGTGTCTCACTCCAAAGGGCACCTCGAGGTTAGTTTCTTTAACTGCATACTATATTTTAGGTCTTTTCTCAGTGTTGGGGTTGGAGGTGTATTCTGATATGAAAATATTTTTAAGACAAAGATTTTAACAACAGTATTCCATGTGCAGTAACAGTCTCCTCTCTGTCTCTGTCTTTCTCTTGCCCATCTTTCTGTGTATTTCCTGTTTTCAATACAGGACTTCTCTGTGTAGCCCTGGCAGTCCTGGAACTTGCTCTGTAGACGAGGTTGGCCTCAAAGTCTTCTTTCCTTTTGCCTTTCTATTGGTTCCAGGGTTTTATCTCAGGTTTAGTAGGCTTGTGTGGCAAGCATTCCACACTTTCATAATTTTTAAGCACACATGATTTTTGTATTCACTGGCAATAAAAAGGAAAAAAGAAATCATACTTTTAGCTATTTGGGATGAGTAAAGGGGATGGGGGAAGGAGCCAAAGAGATGGCTAATAGCATTTGCTGCTCCTTCAAAGGACCCGAGTTTCGTTCCCAGCACCTATGTGAAGTAGATCACAACCACAGGTAACTCCAGCGCACTCACACTCACACACACACACACCCATAAATCCTTTTTTAAAAAAAGCAAGAGAATTTGATATGTGCCTGCCTCTGTCTCCAGGATTTAAAGAACCACACCACCACTGGGTTTAAAGGATTGCGCCACCAGTGTTAGATTCTGACAAGTATTTGCATAGCATACTCCAGAGTCTGGCTTTCTTTTTTAAGAAATCATTAAACCAATAAGAAAACCCTTGGGTCAGTCCAATATCGTGGATCCAAAATACATCTTGAAATATTTTCGATGATTTGCTCATTTCAGAAAATTTATTTCCTCATCTGTCATATTACCTCAAAGCCAGTGTGTGGGGGGGGACGGACTTATTTTTCAATAAGTTCTGCCTTATCTGACATTGTCCATTTTTCCTGCTCAGGTGACTGCTCAATTCTTCCAGCCAAAGCTATTAACCAGCTTTTAGATATTACTTTGGGAATCCATTTGTCATAAAGGTCCTTCTCAGCAAAGAAAATTGGCTAAAGATACTTAGCTCTAGTGAGTTCCAGCTACTATCAGTGCTCAAACCCTAGATGTACAAACCCCACAATTTCTGGATGCAAGAAAAATTTCTAATTTAAACAGCTGTAGTTGTTTTCTATCGAAGGGCTGAACTGGCTGTTTATGAACTGAATCAAAACGTCCATAGTTGCTGTTCCCAGTAAAATCGCAATGCAACAGAAACTGGAGCCTAAAGGAAACTGTAAACTATATCAGCCATTCAATAAAAGCTCGCACTCTTAAATTTCGGACAAAGATACATTACATTAAGGCTAACTTAAAGAGACACCCACAGCAAAGACACCAATTACAACTCTGTTTTGATGGAGTAGGTGGCTCTGAAAAGAGCCTTTGGGTTTTAAGAGCGAGATGGGCACGCTCACTTGGAACTAGTATACTTGGTGACGGCCTTGGTGCCCTCGGACACAGCGTGCTTGGCCAGTTCCCCGGGCAGCAGCAGGCGCACAGCCGTCTGGATCTCCCGGGACGTGATGGTCGAGCGCTTGTTGTAATGCGCCAGGCGAGAGGCCTCTCCAGCGATGCGCTCGAAGATGTCGTTGACGAACGAGTTCATGATGCCCATGGCCTTGGAGGAGATGCCGGTGTCGGGGTGTACCTGCTTCAGCACCTTGTACACGTACACGGAGTAGCTCTCCTTGCGGCTGCGCTTGCGCTTCTTGCCGTCCTTCTTCTGTGCTTTAGTAATGGCTTTCTTTGAGCCTTTCTTAGGAGCTGGAGCGGACTTCGAAGGCTCAGGCATCGTTTTCAGACCAGCGGTATACGACACAACACTCTTAAAATGGGAAAATGAAGAGGGAAAGACCTGGGTTGTTTTATTTATAGTCTTGAAATTCAAATGAAGCCGTTAAAGTACTCACTTGTGATTGGACAACAATAGGATTTTTTAACAAACGAGACAGCTCATGCAAATGAGGGTATCTAAAAGTCTTATTGTCTATTGGACGTAAGAACAAGTTTATTTTGACCAATGCGACCGCTTTCTTTTGTGACTAAGCATAATCTACAACATATTTGAATGTTGGTTTTCAGTTTATGTAACTTACATAACTTTTGAGCATGGCAAGCAAGGCAGTAATACTCGTTACAAGGCCAACTCCCTGACTGGCCTGCAGTTCCAGGTGGGCCGTGGTACCGCCTTCTCCGCAATAGCAGGTATTCCCAGCCTGTGAGTGCCGGCGCCCCGGTGTAACTGGCGCCCGTGCTGGAGTAGCTGGCTGCCGAGATCCTTGAGCTGGCTGGCAAAGCCGCCAGCGACTACAAGATGGTGCTCTCCGTGCCACCTTCAGCTGGCCATCCGCAACAAGGAGTTCAAGCTGCTGGGCCGCGTGACCATCGCACAGGACGGTGTCCTGCCCAACATCCAGGCGGTGCTGCTGCCAGAACCAACACCAAAGTGGGGAGGTAGCGCCAATTTGTCTAAAGCCTCTTTTAAGAGCTACCCACATTTTCACAAAGCAAGCCGACAACAAAGATCTAGTGTCCTTTTAATCCATGGTTGCAGAAACAAATGTTGGCATTCATAAGTAAAATGTCACGAGCTTATTGTCTCCAATTTGAAATTAACGTATTCTTACGTTTTATGTCTAAAAATTTGAATTCCTAAAGCAATGTCCCTATTCCCTAGGGAACTTATCCCTTTTAAGAACAATACTCCAAGTTAGGATTGCAGAATCATAATTTCACCTTAACTCCGAAGTAGTTACACATTGTACCGAGGCAAAACAATAAGATCAAGAAGACACAGAAAAATGGAGAATGAGCAAGATGCTCAGTCTTCTTCGAATGCTACATTAAAAAAAATTCCTAAAATAAGTAATAGGAGAGTGTCATAATGATTTGGCCAATCAGGTCTCTTTACGTTGCTCATTACTCAGAGTACTATTCAGCCAATGAATTTGTGGCGCGGGACTTTCGAATAGTTACGAGGCCAATCAGGATAATTCTGAGTCTATTTAAGGGCAAGATTTTCCTTGCTGTGTAACACTTGGTTGTTTACCACAGCTATGGCTCGTACCAAGCAGACCGCTCGCAAGTCCACCGGCGGCAAGGCCCCGCGGAAGCAGCTGGCCACCAAGGCTGCCCGCAAGAGCGCCCCGGCCACCGGCGGCGTGAAGAAGCCCCACCGCTACCGACCGGGCACCGTGGCCCTGCGTGAGATCCGGCGCTACCAGAAGTCCACCGAGCTGCTGATCCGCAAGCTGCCGTTCCAGCGCCTGGTGCGCGAGATCGCGCAGGACTTCAAGACCGACCTGCGCTTCCAGAGCTCGGCCGTCATGGCGCTGCAGGAGGCCAGCGAAGCCTACCTGGTGGGTCTGTTTGAGGACACCAACCTGTGCGCCATCCACGCCAAGCGAGTCACCATCATGCCCAAGGACATCCAGCTTGCCCGACGCATCCGTGGGGAGCGGGCATAGTGTTATCGACCTCAAAACTTAAAAGCAAAAGGCTCTTTTAAGAGCCACCCAAAATTTCATGTAATCGTGCTGTACATAATGAATGCGTTCTAACCTTTGTATGTAAAGGTAAGTATGGTTTGTGCAAGCTATAACTTTATTACATTAGTGTTCTGGGTTTTGCTGGATTCTTAAGGTCTAGTAACACTGAGCTGAATCTTCGCAAATTTCACCCTCAGAAGTGTTTTTGAAGTATTTTAATTCTAGCTTCTGGTTCAGGGTTTCTCATTACTCCACTATATTCATTCTTGGAACTCATGACACTACATGATCTTGCCAAGAGTTTAAGTGAATCCTCAGCATAGTGTCCCTTGAAGCCTCATATTAGGAATGCTGGCAACAATTATTGCTAATATATAATCATATCTGTGGACACAACATCTCATTAAACCCAAAATGAGTGTAAATGTCACCCAAAATACTCATCACCTTTTAACAATCACATGAAAGTTAATTGGTTTGTTTTTGTTGTTTCCTTTCTTTTCTCTTAGGTTTTTTGAGACAGGTTTTCTCTGCATCCCTGGTTATTCAGGAACTGCTCTGTATACCTAGCTGGCCTGGATCTCTTGAGATATGCCTGCCTCTGATGAGTGCTGGAATGAACTAAAGGCATGGGCCACCACATTGTTATGAGTTGAATTGTAATTGAGATTATGATCAGGTGAACATAAAATGAACACCTTCACTACATATGATGCAAATATTAAAAATATAAAGAAATGAAACAAGAACCCAAGCCTAAATGGCTAATACATAATAAAATAAACTTATATTCATAACTTTATAACAAAATGACCATAGAATGACTACAATCTTAAAACACCATCCACACCATCCAGGACGTTAGAAGTTGGAGATCAGACACTTGGCTTTCATTACCTTCCAGGTAAAATTTCTCTCCAAGCTTTGGCTTTTTCAAATCATACATGGCCTGCCTCCCCACCTGCATCCTATGTTCTGTTTACATTCATTTTTGCAGAAGCTCATATGCATTGAAACTCTGGCCCAGGAGTGTAGCTGCTTTCTAGAATGCTTTGGAAGTTGATGCCATTATCAGAAAAAGCGGGGAGAAGCACATAGTGAAAACAATGAAGTCCATTATAAGCAATTTATAGACTTATTCAGTGTTGAATAACATCTTTCTAAAAAGAAAGTGGTCCTTGTGGGATAAAGTAAAATTAAAACAGTGGATCATCAGAGAGACCCCCAGAAGACATTGGTATGAATTAAGAACTGAGAAGAATCCTTATCCTCATCATGAGGCTGAAGCAAGTTGATAAGGAATTTGAGGCCTGGCTGTCCTACATAGTAAGTTACATGAATCAGCATTGACAACAAAGTGACATCTTGTCTCATACAAAGAAATGTAAAGGTAGTTAGACTAGATTATTATAACTATTACTAGGTTTCAAATCATTTTTTCCCACTTCAGACTAAGGGATTTTAATGTTATCTACCAACAAAAATTACCAGCCTGTCTCACAGCAAACAAATACAATTAATAGCTTCTGCTAAATAGGTTTGTATCAAAATGGATGATCAAATATAATTTCTTCTTTTTCTTCAAAGGTGATTCTGTTTCAGATATAAGGCTGCCTCCAGATAGACAGGAGAAGCTGTGATAGACTGGACTTGATTAAATTCTGAACTTGGTCAGAGCTGACATGAAGCAAAACACAAGATATTAATGATTCTGTCTAAACTTCAGGGCCACATCAGAATTATGGCTTCCTCAGAAAGTGTTAGATACTACCCCAGAGCACATGTTTTTCCCTACACTATTTACTATCAGAACTGAATGGCAGACAAGCATTTGAAATTTAGCTAGTCTAGTTCAAATTGTGCTTTAAATGTAGTTTATTCAAGATTACAAAGATGAAAAAAAGTTAACAAAATATCTTTATATTACTTATTTATCCTAGGTTGACAGTCTTAAAATAAAAATACAGTTTAGATATTTCTTTGTAGTTCTGGTCGCAAGATTAGAAAATTTTAATAAAATGTTTCATATAGTTTTATGGAAAATTTTTACTATGTAGAAAATAATGATATTGACTCATGGATCCTTAATGTTACCAAGACTCCATTCTTTTTTTTTTTTTTTTTTTTTTTGGTTTTTCCAGACAGGGTTTCTCTGTGGCTTTGGAGGCTGTCCTGGAATTCGCTCTGTAGACCAGGCTGGTCTTGAACTCACAGAGATCCGCCCGCCTCTGCCTCCCGGGTGCTGGGATTAAAGGTGTGGGCCACCAACGCCCGGCCCAAGACTCCATTCTTAATCTCTAAAATGTGAGTAATAACAACACCCACCCCAATGTGCTATGCCAAGACTGTTGTGAAATAAATGTGTAATAAACAGATTCTGTGTTTAGGTTACTATAAATAAGTGATCAGGAAATGCTAGCTCTTAATAAGTGATGCTACCACCAGCCACTAGTCCCTGATCCCTTCCAAACTCCTCTGATGGTATAGTCCTGCATTCATGGCTTTTGTTCATCTCTAGCTGGGATTTCAAATACAAACTATATCTAATTGCTATAGATGGATATAAGCTTGGAAAGAAAAAAGAATGTTACCTCAATGTTTGCCTTGTTGGCATGAGGATTACATTGAACTGAAAATCAGCAGATGCAGGAAAAACCTGTTTTCCTCTAGCCAACCTAAAATCAGAATGAATTTCCCTTGTAAAGGAATCTCCATTCTTATACTTGGCAAGTAGAGCAATTCCTACCACTCTGGATGTGGAGAGGGCAGTGACATGAGGCCTTACTCGGACAAGACTGTCAAAGAGTTTGATTGTCATCTTTTGAAACTTGAACCCGCTTTCCTGGGCTACCATAATTCATTTGAAGTTACGCAGCCTAACTTTATCTTTGAGTTTCATTCATTTTCTGTGAATGCTGTCCTTACAAAATAAGAATGAACTTGACTTTTTTTCTTCTGTTCATCTGAGCTTTATCAGTTCATAGGCCACCAGATAACTCAAAATTTAATAAACATAAACTGAGAAAAGAATTTTTCTTAAGCAGACCAACTTTTAGGCTTAAGATAAACAGCTGGTCAGACCTAAGCCCATCACCTATTGAAGCACTTGTGCTGTGAGGAAAAGGGAAAAAAAAGTAAAGAAAATTAAAAAACAAAACAAAAAACAGAAAGATGGGGGGTTAGATGCCACGGGTAAGAGAATTTTTACCTCTCAAATAATCAAAGGAAATTGTTCTATATAAAAGTACAGACACAGGCTTCATATGTAGCTCAATAGAAGATCATTTGTCTGGCATACACAAAGCCCTAATACCAAAACTCAGGGAAATTTACAATAGGAAAAAACTCTACAAAAATATGTTTATGCAACATTTCCTATATTTAGATCAATTTTACATATCCAAATTCAATAAACTGAAACCCAAAGAAGCATTGAGTGAAAATTATAAAAGCAATTATCTTTTCTTGGGATGATGATTCCCATATAACTCTTGGAATGTAGAAATCAAGTAAATGTATAGAATTGAAAATATGTGAAAAAGATGCACTATAGTGGATAGTTTGAATAGTGCCATTATTTTGAGCTCTGTTGTTATACTATCACTAATAAATTATTTACTGGTGATGGAACTCAAGGCCTCACTACAGAAAAGCATGCTGCTTCCACACAGCCTCAGTCTTTAAACACGATTTGTGGTTTGAGTTGAAGTAACATTTTTGTTGTCTGGGTGTTAGGTTACTTTGATTTTTGTTATGGTGGTTTGTATATGCCTTCATTAGTTTGGTTTGGTTTGCTTTGTTTTTGACAGTCTCTCTCTACATGGTCCTGGCCTTTCTGGAATTCGCTATGCAGATCAGGCTGACCATGAACTCACAGAGATCCACCTGCCTCTGCCTCCCAAGCGCTGGGATTAAAGGTTTGCGCCATCATACCCAGCATAGTTGTTGTTTGTTTTCTAGATAAGATTTTGCTGAGTTAGTTTTGGTCTACAACTCAAGATGCTCCTCCCTAAGTGTTGGCTTTACAAATGTGCCACTTCACCCTTTGCTATATTTAGCATCCACAATTACATCCCTGATTGCTACAGCTTGTTCATTTCAGGTCAGTGATGTATTTCCCATGACAGGAGTTCACATGGCTCAGGGAGGAACTAGGAAACTTCACTGAGGGATGAGGAAATATAGCCTGCACATCTTTCATTTAGGCCCTCCCCTGTAAATTTCTAGGGAGATAACACAAATACCTGAACAGAAAGAAAAACATTTTGTTGTTATTTTTGTTGTTCCATAAGAAACCCTGCTAGTTCCACAATTCTTTTTAATACAATCTTAATAAAAATGCCAAGAAGCTTTCTTCCGAGTGATGGGATACTAAAGAACATATTAAAATACATATTAAACACCAAAAAAAAGGAGGGAGGGAGGGAAGGAAAGAAAGAAGGAAGGAAGGAAGGAAGGAAGGAAGGAAGGAAGGAAGGAAGGAAGGAAGGAAGGAAGAGAAAAAGAAAATAACTGGGCATGGTGGCAAAGATCTGTTAGCCCAGCTATAGGAGGCTGAGACAGGAAGAAGATTCCAAGTTTCAGGCCAGTCGTCTGGGCCACAGACAGAATGAGACCTATTTCACAAAATAAAAAGTAAAAACAAGGGGACACATTTCTGTAGTAGAACACCTGACAGCATGTTCAGTTAGTCCCCTGGATAACTAACTATTAAGGGGGTGTGGAAAGGAATTATTTCTTATCCCTTATTGAAGTCATTTATAAGGTAACAGTTTACGATTCAATATTTGAATTCTTGCTACGTGTTAAGTACCTTCCACACTGAATAAAGACTGATTGCCTACTTTAGAAACTACCAGAAAGACCCAAACAGAAATTTGAGATTAAGTCTAGCCAAGGAATTTAGCTTATGGAAAACGAGAAACTAAAGCTGGGAAGAATTGCGAGAGTTCACAGATAATCCCGAGGGCGTGGGGTAGAGGGTATGGGTCTGTTTGGTATGCTTTGCACTAAAAAACCTGTTTGTTCATTTAAACTTAGGACTCAAAAACACGAAGAAAACTAGATTTTCCTTTCTTGATCTCCTGGCTTTCCCGGGTGATAAACGTTTGGGATACTGAAATAAACACTGGATCCATTGTTGTGGAAATGCTTGCTGGTTTCTAAAAGGCATGCTTCCCACCACTATGGAAAATAGCAGCAATGACCCAGACTTCAACAAAACCTGTTCCGACTTTATGAAAAACCGTAATCTCAATCACCTTACCTAGGAGAAACGCTATGAGTATAAAAGAGTCCCCAACAGTGAATGAAAATTAAAGACTTTTATTTGAAGCAACCAACGCGTTTTCAACAGATAGTAATTTACTCATTGCTTAAGTATTTTGGACTGCACAAAGCATAGCAAGAAACCTCAGTATTTATGCAAGGCCGATCGTTAGAACTTATGTACTTCAGGAAGCTGAAGCAATATCAGCCCTAGGACTATCTAAAATCAGAGCCTGTGTGAAAATAAGGCCACACACACACACACACACACACACACACACACACACACACACACACACACACGTACGCACTCACGCACACGCGCTCACAAAATGGCTGACCAAAGTTGTGACGCAGTTTGACCGAACATTCCGAACCGAAAGTACGAGAAATACCAGTCCCAGGTCCGACACAACGGGGCGGGTGGCTCCTTCCCTCAAAATCAGCTAAATGTCTCTAAGTTAAGGAAGTCAACTCGTCGGCGCTAGCACCCGACTTCCTCCCAAGCTTCGCAACACGGTAGGAAAGATGCGTTTCTCTACGTAATAAATGAAAGCTTCGGGAGAAGGCAACACCGACTGGAGCCCAATCAAATTGAGGTCTGAGGTGTGGGGCGGGAGTGAGCCAACCCGCAAGCAGGGCGGAACATTCAAACCACTTAGCAAGTCCAGCACTAACTAGCACCTAGGGTTACTCTTGGCTGTTGACAGCGGTGGAAGGGTGTAACAGCACTTAGCAGCTCCTCGGCCGCCCAGCTCAAGCACAACCCAGTGTGATAGGGAACCCCACCCCGCAGAGCGCTGACTGAACTGCATCCCAGGAAAACTGCCACTGCAGAGAGCAATTGTCACAGCTCTTTTAAGTGGAAGTGGTGGCTCTGAAAAGAGCCTTTTGGGTTTAAGGGAGACAGCCTACTTCTTCTTGGCTGCAACCTTCTTGGGCTTAGCAACCTTGGGCTTGGCAGCCTTCGGTTTCACGGCCTTGGAAGCGGTCTTGGCTTTCTTGGGCTTGGCAACCTTAGCCTTCTTTGGACTCTTAGCCACTTTCTTGGTGACGGCAGCCGCCGCGGGCTTCTTAGCCTTTTTCGGGGTTTTCTTGGCGGCTTTCTTGGGTGTGGCAGCACCAGTCGCCTTCTTGGGCTTCTTTGCTCCAGCGGGCTTCTTAGCCTTGGCCGCGCCTGCCTTCTTGGCTTTAGGCTTGGCCTCGCCGGAAGCCGCCTTCTTGTTGAGCTTGAAGGAGCCGGAGGCGCCGGTGCCCTTGGTCTGCACCAGGGTGCCCTTGCTCACCAGGCTCTTGAGCCCCAGCTTGATGCGGCTGTTGTTCTTCTCCACATCGTAGCCGGCGGCCGCCAGCGCCTTCTTGAGCGCGGCCAGGGACACGCCGCTGCGCTCCTTGGAGGCGGCCACAGCCTTGGTGATGAGCTCGGACACCGGGGGCCCGGTCGCCTTGCGGCGAGCCCCTGCGGGTTTCTTGGCAGCCTTCTTCTTAGCAGGCGCCTTCTCCGCAGGGGGAGCGGCAGCGGGGGCGGCAGGAGCAGTCTCCGACATGATGAGGATCTGCAACTCAGGAACTAGTGGCAATACTCAGATGGGGTAGCGCGGGCCCGTCTGCGGTATATATAGAGCGCAGGCGCGCGCTGATTGGTGCTCCGGCGGCCTGCCTGGCTGGCAAGCTCAGAGCAGCCGCGCTGCGCCCAACTTGTGTTTGTTACACTTCACAAAAAGGAGAAAATATTAAAATGTCTTGCTCCAAATATCTCGAGTTTGGTCAGTAAAGGATCCGAGAAGCCTCAGGCTTCGGAATATCTGTTTATTTTTTCCTCATTCCCAAAGACAATGCACATAGAAGTCCCTAACTCCCCCAACTCCAAAGGAAGTCCCAGGCAAATAGAGACCACTTTCTGTTTTTCTTCTAAATTACCTGGTCGCTCCTTTGCCCCTGAAAGTTCTCTTTCTCAGGGATTATAGGGCACATGCTTCCCTTAATTTAGGAACAAAAATGAAATGATTTCCGCCTAAATTTTCACGATTATTCTCTTTCTTCGCGAGGGAAGTAACACAAGTCCTTGGTGACTTCTGAGGACGTACCCACCATAACCGTGGACTAGGACTGGGATTTCCAGTCTAAAGCAGTTTGGGCAGGTTGACAGGGGCTTCATAGGCCTTGAGGGTATACCATGTGGTGGGCGTCTTAGGACTTAAATATCTGATTTAAAGACACTGTCCAATTCTTTTCACTTGTGGGGGCGGGGCACCCCTTTCACTTCTTTGAAGGGGAAACATTGGGCTGTATTTTTAAAGCTCTTGGTTCCCCTCTGAGTTTTGCAAAGTAGGGGGTCTAGCTCTGAAGAATAGAGATGATAAGGAGGGAAAAGAACCCCATAAGCCTGCGTGAGTCATCTCCCCCCAAAAAAGTGTCAATTAGACCCTGAACGATCTGTTTTATAGCAAGGAGAAAATGTTTGCTTATTTTTCTGCAACACAGAATTTCTGAGCCTGGAAATTCTAATTTAGGAATAGTTTGTCTTAGTACAGGAGGGCCTTCTATATTTGGAGACAGTAAGGTACAGATCGAAATAAAGGCACTGACTTTACTAAAGTCTACGTTTGACTTATATTTGATCAATGTGAAGATTTGAAATAGAAAATTAGCGAATTTTTAACTGAGAGATAAGAAACAAGATAAATAGTGAACAGCTCTATGTCACCTCTTCTCAGCTCCTTTGAATAGGACAATTTGTATTCTATTCGAATTGCTTTGTTCGTTTAAGATCTTTAGCTTCATATTTTATCCTTAAGCACCAATTAATTATAATATTTTTAGTTAGAGAAAATAACAATTCTTTATTTAGGAGCAAAAGAAGTCCCCCTAATTCTATCAGAAATCTATCCAAGTACATGTCTACAAGAAAATACGTGGTGAGGTTGTTAGCATTAAAGTGTGTTAAAGTCACAAGGTTATACAAATTAAATTCAGGGATGTTTGGGAAACAAAGCATATTTTCTGAGACTGAGAATGATCCTGTGGTTTCACTTAGTAACATTTGTTTAGCATTTGGAAGCAGCACATACTAGGCTTGTGTCCTTTGGGAATTAACAGCCTAATGAGATTAGGGATGGATGAATTGCCACCAGTAGAGCCACTTTAAAATGGCCATCCTGTGTGGACTTTGGAATGGGAATTGTAAGACATTCTAAAAAGTATACAAACTATTGAAGTAGCTTCAAAATACCAATCTGGTTTAATAACAGAAATAAGAACATGTTACTTGCTCTGATTATGTGCAGAATGAACAAATGAATGCCTTTTTCATAAGTGTTCTTCTCCCCTGGGAAAATAGCTGTGTGCCATCTAGCTCCCCAGTGCTTACTTGTCTTCTCTTCACTGTAAATTGGCAACTTATTTTTAAATCTAAATCTGTGATTTGTTTACTTATTATGACCCTTCAAACTGTGTCAGTCAAATCATACCTTTTTAAATGCAATTCATTAGTAAGTTTTAACTGTTATAACTGAAAATTAGTTATATGCAAAAAAGATAACCCTGAAAATTGTTTATATTGTACAATACTAAGTTTTATGTCTAACTTTGCAGTCTGTGCAACGCTCTTTCCATGCCTGAGTAAATCACACTTTATCTTACTATATCCTTCTTTGAACTAAATTTGTCATCCAGGTTGCTTACTCACTAATGAGTTCAACCATTCTGTGACATGTGGTATTTATATATGAGTCAGATTTTTAACTATTCAAAAATGATATGCTAGTGCTTGATTAGTCAGCATGCCCTAAGGTCATCCAATCAGAATCTTCAGAAGTCTACCTCTAAAATGGAAAATGGAAAATCTGGGACATCAACTTTAAAGCAACCTGAGACTTAGTGTCTCTTGGAGTCTTAGATTTTGAAATACGTTGAATGAGCTTGAAGGCAAGAAAACTTTTGTTAATATGAGCTCAAAACAAAAGTTCAGATTATGGATGTGACCTTCCCATGAAATGAGGACACTGATGAAACATCGTGGTGATTGTCATATAATCTTGTATATTTGTATGTATGATGAAGGTTACAGATAGCTAAACTTTTGTCATGTTATACTGTTCAGGCTGTATTCCCATGCTGGGCAGAATTAAATATATAGATAATGTACTATCTAATCTGTAAGGAGCTGGAAACAGAAAAAGCTTAACAGCAAGATACACTCATAGGAAGGTGAGGGTAGTTAGGACATAAGGAATGGAGGCTTACATTTTTTTCTTTTCCGTTTCCTCCCTCCAATATGACAGAGTGGTATTGGAGCAGCTGTTAGAGGTAGCTACTTAACCACTAATAGTTAACCACTGGGTATCCCCTGACAGATACTAGTATAGATCCCAACTTTGAATGATTAGAACCTGCTTTTTCCTAACTATCAAGGGATGTTGCTAAAAGCCACAGCCATGTCTGCTTCAAAATGATAACTGATGCACTGTGAGGTAATTTGGGCAGCTTATGAAAAACTGCAAAAGTGATGTCAGAAGATTTAGAGCCTTGTACTATGTTTTCTCATTTCAGCTCATAATTTATACAATTAACATTAAGCAGTGTTTCTGCTATTTTCTCAATCTCTCCAGCAGATGTCTAGCAGTTACAAGATCAAACCTTTGCTACAATGGTTTCCCCAGATATCTGAGCACCGGAAGAGCCAAGACCTAACTTACTGAACTTTTATTCCCTCATGTACCGTCAAATGCAGTGGAAAAACCCACATACACCATGGTAGTAAAGCATAAAGGAAGGAAGAATTAAATACAAGTAGAGAATTACAAAAAGAGAGACACACTGCAAAACTTTCCCCTGACGTTTTGGATTTGGGATTGCCAACTGAGCCCTGGGATACACCGCCACCTCCTCCTCCTTCTTCCAATATTTTTTTTTCAGAAAACTTTAAAACAGTTTCAAAACCTCAAGCCCACCTTCCAAAGATACAGATTTGTCAATCACGAGAATACACTTTTTTTTATACCTCTCTAAGTCTCCTTACAATGAAGACACAAGAGGCAGACATAAATTAGATAATCACCTTGACCAGAATATTATCTCATACAATGCTTGTTTTGTAGGAAATATGATATACAGACTGTGCTAAGTATACTAAGACATTATTTTGTCATCCTGTACCACCAGGATGCTGTGGACACTGCACTGGACAGTCTCTGGGCATTCACTTAAGCATAGGACCTGTTATGAAGATAAAGATCAAGCAAGGAGTGCTGAGTGCTTCTCCTCTCAAGACCAAGCACCTGCTGGAACAGTCACAGACGAGCATTTCTGAGCAAGAACTCTTGATAGGAAAGCAAAGGTCCAAAAGAAAAAGAAAGATAAGAAAGGAGGTTAATAAGTTGCCTAAACCTTTTCCTTAATGAATTAGATATCCAACTGTGAAACTGCAACATAGGAGAACTGCTTAAGCCCAGCAAAGGGGATAACCCTGTCAGCCCAGCACTGGAGATTGACAGGCAGAAGGGTCAGAAATTCAAGACAGAGTTCAAGGCCAGCCTGTACTATGTGAAACCTGTCTCAAAAAGAAAACAAACAAGGAGAATAGCTTAACCTGGTGGTCCTCAAGCTCTTAAATTTCAAGCCCTTTTCTACTCCAATAATTTAGTAAATCCTCTGAAAATCGCTTAATATACTAAATCTGTGGTATGTACCATTTTAGGAATTGAAGTGATGTATTAAAATTGTAATCTGATAGTTGAAAGCTGTGATTTATTTGATAATCCTTTAGGATTTAAACTTAATTAAATGTTATTTATCATTATATGCTATTCACAGGTATGCTATGTATTCTACACTACAGATTTCTATTGAGTATGTAAAGAAACCATACAATATCAGCTGGAAAGTTCTTCATGCTTTAGTCCATACTAGGCTGACCCAAAATGTGTAAGATTTCTTGTGGGGGTGGAGATTACATTGCTGGTGCTGTCAAGGCTGGAGAGATACAGTTTCGAAGCAACCAGGGTTGGTTTTAATTCCACTTCCTCCATTCCTGTGCTAGGGACCCTGCCCAGTTCCTAAGCAACAACTTCCACTTAGTAAGGAATAAATAATGAGTGTTCCTCTTCTAGCTTTGTAGTAGATTCATTCATCCACTCCTATTTAACAGTTATTCACACTAGACTCTAAAGATATGAAAAGCCTCTGTTGTGGGCATGATTCTGAGAAAGGTAGTCCTCTCCTGAATCTGGAGAGATGGATGAGAATAGATCAAGTCCAACAAGCTGTTTCACTCTTTCTGATTACTTGTTCTTTTCTTAGATGCATTCCAAAGGTGTTATGCTAATAAAAGGAGATGGTGCTGAGCCATCACACATGGTAAGGAAGGGGCTGTGTGTGTGTGTGTGTGCGTGTGTGTGTGTGTGTGTGTGTATGTGTGTGTGTGTGTGTGTGCGCGCGCGCCTCTATGTGTTTACACAGGTGTAAACTAATGTGGGTATGCAGTGGGGGACCAGTAGAGAAGTAAATATCACAAGGCTATCACTCTCCACTTAAGGGTCTGCCTTAACAGTTCCCCTGTTTCATGCCCACCATGCAAGCTTGTGAAGATCCTCAGACAGAGGGAAGATCCCTCTGTCCCTGCTTCCTCATTCCAGGAAGATCATACATTTGAGGTCAGGAGGGTATGGATGGTGAATTCAGAAGAATCATGATGTTACATCTCTCTGCATATATTCGATGATTAATCTCAATCTGCTAATATTAAACAGACCTTCTGATGTGACCAAATTCTTATCAAGTTAACTGATCTAAGATTTGTAGCAGTCAATACATGAAATATAATTTTCATGGTTAATAGCAGCAGTTGTGTTTTCTTTATGATTTCACAAAACAAAGCAACATTGTATATTAGTCAAAAGCCTATCTACACTGGATAATAACTCAATTATCTGAGTTAAATTTAGCTTTGCTGTTTTCTGGTTCTATAACCTTGAACAGGTTAATTAACCTGCCTATGCTTCAGTTTATCATCTGACAAATGGCAATAATAATACCACATTTTTATAAGTTGTTATGGGATTTGTGAGTCAGTGCACATAGCTCTGGCATATTTACAATGTTTGTTATTTTTCATGTGTACATACAGAAACAGAATAAAATTTATTTTTAAAATATTGTACATAAACACCTGTATACTAACTAGTCCCCAGCCCTGTCAGAACTGATGTGAGTGTTATGAGACCCCGTGAACAGCCAACTGAACACTACCCAAAACAGGCATTTCCAGCACCGTGGTCATCCCAGCTAACAGCATCCTACTAGTGCTACACATATAGTCCCAGCCTTAACACTTCAGGAAAAGAAGAGTGAGATTTCAGTCTTATCTAAGACAGTGCAGCAGTCTTAGCACTTTTATGCCTCAAGCATCGCATAGACATTAAATAGGTATAAACTTTTCAACTGAAGCCATGAGTGGTGGCATACTCCTTTAAAGCCAGCACTCGGGATGCTGAGGCAGGTGAATCTCTGTGAGTCACAGGCCAACCTGGTCTACCAGGACAGACAAGATTATACATTGAGATTTTATCAAAACATAGATTGAGAGAGAGAGACAGAGAGGGGGGGGAGGGAGGGAGGAAGAGAGAGAGAGAGATAGAGGAAGAGAGAGAGAGAGAGAGAGAGAGAGAGAGAGAGAGAGAGAGAGAGAGAGAGAGAGAGAGAGAGAGAGAGAGAGAGAAGTGGTGGCTCATGCTTGTAATCCCAGGACTCTGGAAGTTTAAGGCAAGAAGATTCCTGAAAGCTGCAGACCAGTTTGGAATGCATAATAAGATGGATCCTTTCTCAAAGGGAGAAAATGTCAATTGAACAAAACTTGAACAAGATAATACTTTTAAGTTCCTATGTATAAACTACACAAAACAAAAACATCCATATTCCTGCATAAGTCATGCTGTTTGCTTTAGTAGACACTAGATGGCAGTCCTAAATAAGAATGCAACCTTAGATGCTAACTAGGTGATTTCTTTGACCTAGGTGATTATTAATCTTTGGCTATGTCCGTATTTTCCATCTCTTTCAGAAATTATTAACACCATTTGTCAGATAATCATTCTGAATAACTGGAAATCCACAAAATTTCACATCCCCATAGGCAGGAAGCATGGGAAGAAGAAATTAAGTGAACTGGACTATTATCAAAGTGGTCTAGAAAAACCGTGTTGGCTCATGCACTCTGCAATGAACTCATCAGCAACTACAATAAGCCTAGCACCTGCCTGCCCAGCTTAGGGAATAACTAAGTAAGGGGACAGTCTGTTCTTATGTAGGAGCTGCACAATAGAGATCTCCAAATAGATGAGAAAGAGCTCACAGTGAGAATAAAAGGAAACAATGGTTCATTTTATAAGGTGGTAGAGTTTAATAATAGAGCCATAATTTATTAAATGTGTTCTTCATGTTTTTAAAAGTAAAATGACCACAGTGAAGAGACTGACAGGACACTGCTGTGTAAAACGGTCTGGGGAGAAACAGAAAGATAGGAAGTTAAAATGATACCCAAGGCAAAGGAGTCCCTCACCTGGTGTCTAGTTGAAATCTGACAACTAAAAGTCAACAACTGCAGCTCAAAGAGCAGTATTTGCCATGAAGGAGGCCTATGTAGAGACAATATTCCTTTTATATAGAGATGTTTCAAATAAGCAATGATCCATGCTTAAGGCCTGAATACCTACACCCTTCATTAGGTCTTGATCCTTTCCTGTCTATGTATCTGCAACTTTCTGGGAAGCCGACAAACAAGATTATAAACTTCACCTGCAGTTAAAAAAAAAAAAACACTTGTGTAATCTTTATAACCCATGGTTTTACCGTATCAACTGTAATCCCACCCAATGTACTGCCTTACATACACAATCAGGAGCTGCCCTGTCATCTCACTTAAGTCCCTGAGAAACCAGCCTGACTTCTGAAGTGAAGCCACCAAAGTCAAGTATGTGACAGCTATAAATTCAATTACACACTAACCTATTAGTAATCCCATATAGACACTTGGTGTAAACTATCCTCCTGCCCATCTCTGCTATAACTGAACTTAAATCTGTGTTGAAATCTCTTTTTGTTAAACTCTAACTCTGCTTACAATCACGTCTCCTGAAATTCATTTTTGCAGTGCCAGCATGCATCTTGGCTCTATCAGAGCAGATGTCTCTAAGAAGAACCCAGAACTATGCCTTGGCCCTCAACCCCTGCTGGAAATCACAGCACAAGAAGTGGTTCTTTTCTTATAGAGAGAAAATTGTGAAAATCGTAATTAAGGTCTATCAGTAATAAATGGATTGATCATGGTATGCCAACAAGCAGATACAAAAGCTTCATAACTGTATACTGTGCTCAAAGTCAGCACCTGACTACAACACATGTTCTCTGAGACAAACTCTCAAGAAACCCAAGAGAAGTAAGCTGCACTGAAGTGTGGTTATATGAAAGTCTGACTGAACAGACACCCCGCCAATCTTGTCATTTCTAAAACGAACAGCATAAATTAATAAAATTAAAACATTAGGGAAGGGGAAAGAAAACAAACAAACATTCAAGCCAGGCATGATGGTACATGCCAGTAAATCTCAGCACTCTGAGGTTGGGGACCAGCTAGGACTACGTAGCAGAAGCAAATGAATAGGAAATAATTTTTAAAACATATGCAAAAAGTCCCAGCTCAAATTGCTAACTAGTAATTTCAAACAATGTTAGACAAGGAGTCAAACAAGAAGGGTTTTGTTGCTTGACTCTGCAGTTATCCAGGGAGAGGGGAGCTGCTGGAGAGGAACAGCATGAAACAGGCTCTGCTCTGCTCAGGTCCTCACACTGGGCTTGTGCAATTGTGGATGTTTGTACTGATAAACCCTACATGGAGCTCCAGGTTAGATCTTTGGCTGGGGAGTGGCTGAAGATCTCACCCCTGGCTAATCATTCACTTGGACACTGTTACTCAGCAGATTTAAAAACCCTTCCACATACAGTTTGATGACAAGACTGACTACCCCCCACCCAGTCAGGCCTATTCCCAGGACCTTCCACATAAGAGTTTCTTAGCAATATTTTCTGTTGGTTTATTTCTGAAACTGAGTCTATCAGAAATAAAAACTGGCCAACTGTCAACTTTTTTTTTTAAGACAAATTCACTCTTTAACTAAAGCTGGCCTAGAACTATTTAATTCAGGATGGCTTCAAACTGTGTACTCATCACAGTCCCCCTGCTTCAGTTTCCCGGTGTTGGGAATACAGATGTGAGTTCAAATGTCTTAATAGGAGCAAATTAACAAATGGAAAAGAAACTCACTCCAATGGAAAGAGTCATTTTGCTGTTTCATAGCACCTTGGGTTTCAGGACAAGACTGATAATATTTTATGGCAGACACCAAAAGTGATGGCTGTTTGGAGGGAAAGTTACCTCAACTATATCTTAAGGGTGAGTACAGAATTAAGCTGGGAACACAAACACTGTTTCAACCTAAATATGTTTATTAATTTTTGTTCTTTATTTTATTGATATAATCATAGTCTAAGCCATTTATAAGGGAATATTGGACTATTTCCTGATAGATAGTGACAGTTTCAGACAAAAATGCTGTGAATCAGGTCTAGTGATAAAGGCCTGTTATCACTGCTATTCAATACACTAAGGCAGGAGAGTTGAAACTTCAAGGCCTGCCTAGGATACAGAACAAGTGTAAAGCCAGCCAGGGCAACTTAGCAAGACCC